AAAAAAAAAAAAATAGTATACATGAAAATAAACATACATGAAAGCCATAACATTCATGAATGCCTTTTCTTAATGTTCATGTGTATAAAATGAGACCAAAAAGAGTTAGAAAATTGAGGATGTTTGACTTACTTTTCCAATAATCTTAGAAGGCAGCTAGTTTTATTCCTCAGTCATTCACTAACTTGATAGCTGACTTTTCTCATTGAAGACAAGAGAAAGCAATCTATCATCTCCTATTCTGCACAATAGCATTGCCTTGGAGTAAAAAATGTAAAGCTGGCTGTGTTGATAAATCAACACAAGTCACGTCAACTCCCACTCATAGCGCCCCTATGTACAGTAGAACAGAACACTGCCTGGTCCTGCGCCATCCTCAAAATACTTGCCATGCTTGAGCCTGTCAATGCAGCCATTGTGACACTTGACCTCGGTGAGCTTCTTCCCCATTTTTGCTGACTTTCTGCTGTGCCAAGTACAGCATTTTCCTCCAGGGACTGATCTCTTCTGACAACATGAAGATGAGGTGAAATCTGGCCATTCTTGCTCCAAGAAGCATTTTGGGTGTACCTCTTCCAGGACATATTTGTTCATTCTTCTGGAATTCATGGTATTTTCATTATTCTTCACCAACACCAAAATTCAAAGGCATCAATTATTCTTTGGTCTTCCTTGTTCATTGTCCAGCATTCCCACACATATGAGGTGATTGGAAATACTGTGGCATGGGTTAAGTGCCCTTCCTCTTCAAAGGGACATCTTCGTTCCCCAACACTTTAAAGAGGTGTTTTTCAGATGTGCCCAGTTAAACATGACATCTGATTTCTTGACTCCACTTCCATGGTTGTTGACTATTGAATTCCCCGACACCTTCAATCTTTTCTACATTTATTATGATATTGCTTATTTACCCAGTTGTGGTGATTTTGTTTTTCTTTTTGTTGACATGTAATCCATCCTGAAGTCTATAGTGTTTGATTTTCATTAGTAAGTGCTTCAAGTCACCTGCATTTTCATCAAGCAAATTTATGTCACTTGTAAACATCACAGGTTGTTAATGATGCCAATCCTGGTTCACTTTTTCTTCATATAGTTTACCTTCCTGGACTATTTGTTCAGCATACAAATTGAATATGTATAAAAGGATACAATCCTAACACATATACTTCCTGATGTTAAACCACGCAGTACTGCCTTACTCTGGTCAAATGACAGCCTCTTGGTCTATGTACAGGTTCCTCATGAGTATAATTAAGTGTTCTGAAATTTTCTTTCTGCACAGTTGAAGGCCTTTGCATAGTCAATGAAACATACATATACATTATTCTGGTATTCTCTGCTTTCAGCCAAGATCCATGTAACTTCAGCAATAATATCCCTCACTCCAAGTCCTCTTCTGAATCCAGCTTGAATTTCTGGATATTCCCTGTGATATACCGTTGTAACCACTTTTGCATTATCAAAAGCAAAATTTTGCATTCATGTGATATTGATGATACTAATCCATAATTTCCACATTCTGTTGGATCACCTTTCTTTGGAATTGGCAAAACAAGGATCTCTTCTTGATGGTTGGCCAGGTAGCTGTTTGCCAATTTTCTTGACATAAACAACAAAAGCACTTCTAGGAGCTTCATCCATTTGTTGAAACATATCAATGAGTATTCCATTAGTTCTTGGAGCTTTTTTTTTTTTTTAACATGTCCTTCAGTGCAGCTTAGATTTCTTCAATACCATCGGTTCTTGATCATATACTATGGCCTGAGATGCTTGAAATTCAACAAATTCTTTTTTGTACACTGACTCTGCATATTCTTTCCATCTTTTTTTGATGATTCCTGCATCATTCAATACTTTGCTCATAGAATCCTTCAATATTGCAACTCTGTTATTGTTAAGTGGTGT